AGTTGTCAGATTTTTTATGATCAAAGTCAAAGTCAAAGCATTTATTTCAATTAAACCATAATTTGGTACTTTTGAAACGTCAACAAATACAAAATAAATAATAGTCGGTCAGTCAGTCCGTCAGTGAAGCTAGGTGCTATGGATTATGGATCTTTACTTCGGTTTCCTCATTGGTGGACGGCCGCCAGTGTGAGATAGATGTCACGATTACGATTACCGGGTAGGGCGTTACAATTTGTTTTAATTCTCCATAGGAGCTGTTTAAGAAAAATATGTAGGTACAGTAAAAAATCCTAGAATTGGCGAGATAAATATTATTAAGTTTAAATTACCAACATTCCCACTAATATCTCGGCGTTCAGAAACCTGTATGGTGTATGGCAAATTAGCAATACACTTACCCCCAATAGGGATGATGACAGGGTATGAAAAGTAAAAATCTAATTAGTCCGTTAGTTAGATAATGAAAAAATATTAGACACGTATTTTTTTATTGTGTCGTATAATAAAACAATACTTAGATAAAACGAATCAAAGTTTAGGAGTGGGGGCTAAAACGTCATTTCTACGTATAAAATGTACATAGAAGTGACGTCACGCGACATTTCAAATCAATATATCGTCGAAAGTATTCGTTTCTGTAAGAAAATAAAAAATACGTGTGTAATGATTTAAAATAATCTACCAGGCGGACATTAAAATAAAAATTAGGCATCTACCCTATTACATGGGACTCATAACATAACATATAGTGCCCTTGATATCCCCTTCAAAATAATATTATGGCCTCAAACACCAATCATTATTTTTTAAACCATAATTTCGAACGTGCCATTACCTACACGAGTACAAGTTAAAAAAAAAAACAAAATATTTTGCCACTTTGACCTCTGAAGTAAGGAAGCAAATATATTTAATGTAATTACTTATTAAAATGTCAGATTATAAATTATAATACTTATACTACCTTTTGCCCGTGACTTTGCACGACCTAAATTTTTTTTATGAAATAAAGCCGGTAAATGAGCAGACGGATCACCTAATGATAAGTAAATCGGCGTCGCCCATGGATACCTCGAACACCGGAGGCGTTACAAGTGCGTTACCGGCCTTGGGATTAGGAATTTGAGGATTGCTGGGATTCAGGGATTGGGGTGAGGGTAATTGGGCCTCCAGTAACATCACTCACACGACGAAACACAACGCAAGCGTTGCTTCACGTCGGTTTTCTGCTGGGCCGTGGTATCACTCCGGTCGAGCCGGCCCATTCGTGACGAAGCATGGCTCTCCCACACTTAAAATTATAAATTTTCCTCTTGAATCACTACATCTGTTAAGAAACTGCATCAAAATTCGTTGCATAGTTTTAAAGATCTAAGCATACATAGGGACAGATAGAGGGAAACAACTTTGTTTTATACCATATAGTGTATAGCTTTTGACTTCTGGGTTCGCTTACGTCAATATTTAAGCATACCATAATCATTATCGTCATCAGAAGCAGGTGACAGTCCACTGCTGGACTATCAACCTCCTCTACATAAGAGGGATTTGACAAAATCACCAAGCTTGTCTACCAGTTTGGAGATCGGATCGCGTTTCTTCTTTATTCTTCGCGTGTTGGCCTGAGACAGAGGTTTAAATTAACCTAGATCGGGTGGTCCACTGTCAAATAATGGAATTTTACGAATAAATGTCAATATTGATGTTTTAATTTTAGTATATTCTTAAGCACTGTATTGTATCTTTATTGTAAAAGGAAACCCTACTACTGTTTGACTTAGTGTTCATTTTGTAAATGTGTATGGCAATAAATTATTCTTCTTGTATTCTTATTCTTTCTTCATGTAAATCGCCACCAAACCTTTATGAAAAAGCCAGCAACATATCTGTTACTTCTCTGGTGTGATAGGTGTATATTTAGGCGTTAAAACTTACCATCAGATGATCCATCTGTTAATTCACCCTCAAGTCCATAAAAAAGAAAATAAGTGGATATATTTAAACTAAAATTCTATTGAAATTGGTTCAGCAATTTATGAGTTATAGTGTAACAGACACTCTAACGTATATATTAATTAATTATGGTCAATTGATATTCATAAATTATTATTTTCAAATACAGTAAAAACCTGCAAGGCTTTTGATAAAAAACTAACCTGTTTGTCGATGGACCTTGGTAGCTAAGACATAAATATATATATATACATCGATTTATAATTAGTATATAAAACTAGATTATGTGTTTGATATAATCGGTATTCATATAATAGATGTGGTTGTTTGTTTGTAAATCCTTCATTTTTTTTGTAGAAGAAGATTGATCACCTGATGGTAAGCAGTCAGCGCCGCCCATGCACACCTGGAACGTTAGAGGTGTTACAAGTGCTGCAACTAACTAACTGTCCTAACTGTCCATGGGCGGCGCTGATTGCTTACCATCAGATGAAAAAATATTAGATACGTATTTTATTTTCTCGTGTTAAGTTGCAATACGTAGATAAAATGGTGCTAAGTTTAGGATTGGGGAGGTCGTTACGTAATAACGTGCTACAAAATGTGGCACGCTGTGACGTCGCACGATATTTCAAATTAATATATCGTCGAAAGTATTTAATTTTGCGCGAAAAGAAAAATACGTTTGTACAGTTTTAAATTAATGTACCAGACGCCCAGACGGACTTTGAAATAAAATTTAGGAAACTATCCTATTTAATCCTTAAAAATATACTAAAAATACTCGATTTCTGTAGTATAGTAGTACTACAGTTTGTCGCAGAGAACCTAACGGGTAACCGGGGCTCCGGCTCGACGTGCAGGAGAAGGAACGGGGTGGTGTTTAGTCAGTACGAGTCTGACACTCCCTCCCGCCTCACCCGGGCGGGAGCAGTCATTCGATGATTTACCCCACTTAAAAAAAAGTAGTATAATAGTTTAGATGTTTTCTTCACCACATTGAGTACCGAGTATTAAACTAACTGTATTTTCAGTTTGAACCATTGATTAGTGGTATTACTCATATTTATACTAACATTGTCAGTAGGTACTTATACTCCTACGTGCAGAGAGGTTGTTGAACTGTAGTTTAATAATATTTGAAGTGTTTAGTCTTCAATATCTGACAGTCCCTTTCGTCTTTCTCAGGCGATTTATATGAAGATTTGTGGTCAAAAAAATATCTATAGATTTAGATATTAAAGACAGAATTTTAACATAACCTATTACAAACTCCGGAACTCCGGACGAATTTGTGGGTTGACCTGGCTCCGGCTCTGTACTGGAGTAGGAACGGGGTGGTGTTTAGTCAGTAAGAGTCTGACACTCCCTCTCGCCTCACCCAGGCTTGAGGAGCCATTGAATGATTCCCCTCCCCCTCAAAAATGCTTTCTTAGAGTGTCAAAATTGCTGTTTATTGACGGTAGAATTAAAATAAATTTGTTACCACCCCTACTCTTTCCACGGGTGTCTTATACCCGACTAAGGGTAACATTTGACAGAGACCGGGCAGCAGCGCTCTCTGATAAACCTGAAGCATTTAAACCGCAATCTGTAAGCCTGCGTGAAGATGTTCAACGGCGAATAATCATTTAGTTTTTTGTATTTTGGAAATTATCCATGATTAATATAAAGTACTATAATACAGAATGCCCAGCCTAGACTTTGAACTCACGGCCTTTGATTTCATAACGGTATTCTTTCAAGTCAGGAAATACCAACCATTAAAAAGTAATATTAAAAGTAAAATGATAGCAAAGTGTGTCACAAAGATGAATAGGTCGGAATGAAAGGTGCCTCATTTTACATCCACAATGGACTACATAATACGGCTTGCAATAATCCCTCTACGCTGTTCTTAACGGGGGAAAATCTTCAATGACATTCAATTTAAGTATGTGAGAGCCATGCTTCGGCACGAATGGGCCGTCTCGACCGGAGTGATACCACGGCCTCACCGAAAACCGACGTGAAGCAACGCTTGCGTTGTGTTTCGTCGTGTGAGTGAGGTTACCGGAGGCCCAATTACCATTGGCCCTTCCCCAATCTCCCCAATCCCTGAATCCCCAACGACTCTCAAACTCCTAAATCCCCAAAAGGCCGGTAACGCACTTGTAACGCGTCTGGTGTTCCACGTGTAAATAGGCGACGCGGATTGCTTACCATCAGGTGATCCGTCTGCTCGTTTACCGGCTTATGCCATAAAAAAATGTCACCTCCCGCCTTTGGTTTAGGCAAGAGGGAGTGTCAGACTCTTGCTGACTGAAACCACCCCGTTGATACTCCAGCGTAGAACCGGAGCGTTGGTAGCCAGGCCGTCCTGGGCTCCGGAATCTCCCGACGCTTGGCGCGTGATTTGAAGATGGTAGTTTTAAAGGCTCTGTCAAATGTCAAGAATAAGAGTAGAACCAAATAATACTCTTTCTGCCCTCGCCACACGGCTTACTAACATTAAACCTAAGTGAGGGATGAACCAGATACCATACCTTATCTTGCTAATAATACAAACGCGAAAGGTTGCGCGTAGTTGTGATCGTTTGTATGTACATTACTCAACAACGTCAAAACGGCTGAAGCGATCGGGATGGAATATGGAACAGAGGTAGATTATGGTCTGCAACAACACATAGGCTACTTTTTCTCCTAGAGGAACCCGGACGAAGTCGCTGGCTGAAGCTAGTTCCTTATAAAGCGCTAAGGATGACACGATCGACCTTTCTGTTGTGACCACTTATATTAAACCATGGCATTTTTCTTATTCACATCTCTTTACCGGAATTTCCTCAAACCATTTCTTTTGAACTCCAAAAAGGTCACATACGGAACCCACAACAACCTTGACATAAGCTCAAAAGTGAAGGCAAATACCAAAATGGCTGCCGGAAATGGAAGTTCAAAATAATTAATTATAATATCATCGACTTTTACTAATTATTCTGATGACCCTGCAAGCAGAACCGCGTCATAATATTATATTTTTCTTAATAACATTTTCTTGTTCACAGGTTGCGCGTACGCACGAATCGCGACGCTCTTTGCAAGAGCATCAGTCGAAACCTGGGCGGCGCGCGGGACAGACGTGCGTTACGCAATTAAATTCTCTATTTTCAAAAATCAATGGATAAAAAATAGTGAAGTGCAGTGATGCAATAGTGTGCAGTGGAGTGCAATATTTTTTTACAAATACTTAATTTTTGAATTTTTAAGTTTGTTTTTTTTTTATAATAAAATTTTACAAAAATGCAAGGTCGTGATAAGTTGTGTGCGAAGCTTACGAGTGCGTTTCTCAGGAAATGGTGTAAGTACCTATTAATTTTTTTTTCTAATTTCTAGCCATAGATTATAGAAGAACTTGTTTTTTAATCTTAAATTTATTATGTACTTAATTATTTATGGTTATTTACTGATTATAATTATGGTCGTTAATGACCTGATTATGGAGTCTTTAAGTTCGATGCTCGGTTCAAGTAAAGAATTATGGAATTTTTTATAGAAGTTCTTTATCGTATGGAGTTTAAAATTAAATCTAGTGTTTCGTAATAGGTTCAGTGGTTTTTTAAAGGTAAGACTAAGTGGGGTCGCAGACGAGGCTAGCTAGCTAGGGCAGGAGTAGGAACGGGGTGGTGTTTAGGCAGTATGAACCTGACACTCCCTCTCGCCTCATCCAGGGCAGGAGGAGTCATTAGATACTCCCTCCCCCAAAGGAATGTGTTTTTTAATGGGTCTTCTAGTTTAGTGAACTTAGTATATGGCAGGCAATAGGCTCACCCCTTATTACATGGGACTCATATCATAACTGGCGAAAAGAGGTACATTGTATATTGTGCACCTCTGTCCACCCCTTCGAGAAATATAAGGCGTGATCTTCAGTTATCTCATCATCATCAGTAGCGGGTGACTGTCCACTGGCTGGGACTATGAGCCTCCTCTACATAAGAGGGGTTTGTCATAGACTCCAAAACTTGGCAAAGGGATTTGAGATAGTAGTTTAAAAGGTTCTGGTTTATCAGAGAATGATGTGACCCGGTCTCTGTTATGTAGTCTCTCAGTCGGGTATATGACACCCGCGGGAAGAGCAGAGGTGTTGAAAAACTTATTCCACTCGCTTGAACTTAGGTTTTTTATTTAGCTACCAGTCCGGTCTCTGTTTGTGTAGTCGGGTATATGATACCCGCGGGAGGAGAAGCGGTGGTCGCAAATGTATTCCACTCGCTTGAACTTAGGTTATTCATTTAGCTATTTAGCTACAAGTTTGGTCTCTGTTTGTGTAGTCGGGTATAGGATACCCGCGGGAGGAGAAGCGGTGGTCACTAATGAATTCCACTCGCTTGAACATGGGTTATTTATTTAGGTACCAGTCCGGTCTCTGTGTGTCTAGTCGGGTATAGGATACCCGCAGGAAGACTAGGGGTGGTGACAGATGTATTTATAGCCGTAACTTTGTTCAAAGTTGTTTAATTAGCTGTTTGCACTAAATATAGATAGTTGTTTGTCTATCTGTCGGCTCGGATCTCAAGATCTTTTCCTTATTACTTAGGTACCTAGTTTAATTTTTACTTTGCGTTTTAAAACAACATTTTTTTATAATATAAATAGTTGAATAGGTACCTACCTATATATTTTTGAGTAGGTATATAATTATAACCTGTTTATTAATAAAATGTCAGGTATTCACCTGTTTTAATATTTTTTTTTAAAAGTGAAGACTTGATTTTGTTTTTATAGTAATTCGAGTCAAGTTAAGTGTTTGTTAAATGGACTGGTATGCGAGTGGTATTGAGTTCTAATCAATCCTGAGTCAAGCAACAAAATAGGAGTTTTGATAATAATAGTTAGCAGTACTTAGTAAGGAACCTAAGTTTTGAATCAGCCGGCGCGTTCCGCGCGCGCCTCAAACAGCCATCAGACCACCACGGATGAGGTCCAATAGGACTGATACCGATATGGAGCCGCGATACCTTAACGGGTTGCCGGGGCTCCGGTTCGAAGTGCAGGAGTAGGAACGGAGTGGTTTTTAGTCAGTAAGAGTCTGACACTCCCTCTCGCTCTCCTCACCCAGTAATTCGATGATTTTCGGTCACCCCAAAAAATTTATTGTATTTATGTAACGATCGTCAAATTTCTAATTCCCAAAAGATCGGTAACGGACTCGGCACGCCTCTAGTTTTGCGAATGTCTATGGGCGACGCCGATTGCTTACCATCAGGTGATACGTCTGCTCGTTTACCGGCTTATGCCATAAAAAACAGGCTCACTCCTAATTACATGGGACTTATATCATAAATAGTGAAAAGTGGGTGTTACATTGTTTTTTTGCACCTCTGTCTACGCCTTCTCAGTGACAAAAGACGTTATTGTGTAATACTGTCGGTACTCAATTTATGAGTGGTTCTGTAGCTCCAAGGAATGTCAGTATAGTATTAACATACATACATTAGACGTATGTATGTATGTACAGTATCTGGCGATAAATATTGCACATCAACTGGGAAGAGACATTTTTGTGGTATTCATTAACAAAATCATCAACAGCCTATAAGTGGCCACTGCTTACCAAAGGCCTATTCTCGCACAGAGGTTTCATCAATCACCACGCTTGCTCAATGCGGGTTACAATAATTTTTTTTTATTTTCAAAAAATGTTTTTATGATGTTTTTATGATTCGAGGAGGTGTCGACTAGACTGTCAAACACTGCGAGGACACCGGTGACGATTGTCTTTTAAAGGTCGATTTTTATTTAATATATTTGATGGACCGACGTTTGACCACTATCTCGCCTGGTGGTGCACGATGATGCGGTCTACGATGGAGCACGTCGTCCCATAAGCAACCTGTTCACTCGCGCCTTGAAGACACCCAGGTTATACCCTTCAGGATATACAGACTATGGCAAAGAATTCCACTCCTTAGCAGTACGCACAAGGAAGCTTGATGCGAAGCGTGCGTGTGGGTGGGAGACTTCTACTATGAATCTGTGACGCTTCACCGATTGTCTTGTGGTACGATGATGGAAAGGACTTGGGGGAATCAAGTTGTGCAATTCCCCCGCACACTCAATGCGATATATCCGGTAGAAAACCGAAAGGCTTGCAACCTTACGCCTGTGTTCGAAGCTTTGAAGCCAGGCGTTCATGTGATGTGCACTATTTATCGCCGGGTACTGTAGGAATGTATGTATGTATGTATGTATGGTCGTGTATGGAATTGTTAATTATCTAGATCCGTTTGCGTGAGTCAAAGTCAAAGAATTGACTTTTTTTTAAATATTGTACGTTGGAAGCTTTTCATAGACAATACGTATGCGTAATTTTAATTAAACGACTTCAAAATAAGGAAGTTTTTAGTTTGACGTGTAAGTATGTTTGTCCGCTATTATCTGGTGATCGACTGAACCGATTTTGATGTGGTTTTCAGTTGTTATACTTAAGAGAAGGTTTTAATATCGACGCTTCCAAACAATAACCCAGTAATCGATAAATCAAAATTTTACAGGAGAAAAGATTTACTGATTTTATCAAATACCTTTTCAACGAGTGGGACTATTGAAGTCATTGATGTGTTAAATGAAAGCTATTTTTTTGCGGAATATACCTGTGCCATTAAAATGACATTCCTTTTATTAAATACCTAGTAATTTAGGAAAATAAATAATACCTAAAATTTTATACATAAAATATTATGGTAATAGTACTTACGGGATTATTGCAGTAAATTTATCAAATGAAATATTTCATAACATTATATTATGGACTTCTACGGGGTTTTTTTTATCGTGGGGCTGATACATAACGTGTTTTTACGGAGTTATTGTGGTAATTTAAAATATTATTTAAATTACCACAATAATGTACATTAATGTACGTAATATAAAATATTACGTACATTAATGAGCCAATACCAATCTTCAATAACATTGTTAGTGTGTATTACGGAATACGTATTTTACAATGAATTCAACAAAAACCCCGTACACACGTTTACCTAAATCTTCATGAAAATTATTTACGGCAATAACCCGGTAATCGCAACTTACCAAAATAAAATATAAATTGTTTTTTCGTACAGATGTAGAACATGTTTTTTGCCGAGATATTATTGTGTATTAATTCCCAACAATAAACATGTGCGTCATGATATCTTTGTAACTATTATTAGGAAAAATCTGAGAAAAATTGTCAAGGTGTATTCAAGTCCATACGCGCCGAAATTGACATAACAGCATAAACCCGATAATAGCACATTACCGAGTTCTTGGTTGGGAGCGTCGATATGTTAATTAACCGATTTACTAAAGAGAAGTCGGTTTTTTGACATAGTATTAAACAATTATCCATACAAGAGTAACTATGTAAGTAAGATGCACATATTATACAAATAAGTAATATACCTATGCGCAACTTAACACCAATTTTTCACTTCATAACAATATTATGTATGTAGATTTTATGGTCCGAAGGGTCCGAACTATTTATGTTATGAGTCCCATGTAATAGGGGGTGAGCCTATTACCATATACCGGGCACGATTCTTGCCCCAGTATTGCCGCTGAGTAATTTTCGAAATACTTTTTTTTGAGAGGTGTAAAATCATCCAATGGCTCCCATCGCGGGTGTGATGAGAGGGAGTGTCAGACTCTTACTAACTAAACATCACCACGTTCCTACTCCTGTACAGAGCCGGAGCCACGGTGACTTACATCCGATAGACATACTCTTTGCTCAATCAGAGAAGGCCGACAACGCACTTGTAACGCCTCTAGAGTTGCGAGTGTCCATAGCCGGTTGCTTACCATCAGGTGGTCCGTCTGCTCGTTTACCGGCCTATACTATAAAACAAAAGAGAATCGAATTTTTTCACTAGTCTTGCACACTCGACCACCAACCAAGTAGCTAGCTATACATAATAATGATTGTCTATGTTTGTCTGTATGTACATATTTAGCAAGTGTAAGATCGTCACTACACATACTAAGATATTTAAGGCACAATTTTATTAGTATATTGCTATAAAAGGAGTCTGTCTGTATGTATGTTAGTGAAAACGAATGTAAAATAACATAGGAAATATGTACAAAATCTAAATGTTGAATTTTATGTAATACTATGCTTATAGATACCACAACAACAGCCTATAACTGCCCACTGCTGAGCAAAGCTTCTTCTCACACGGAGAAGGTTTGAGCATTTACCACCACGGTTGCTCAATGCGGGTTGGCGATTTCAAACTTATAATTAGAATTTATAAGCCCAGATTTCCTCACTATATTTTCCTTCACCGTTTGTCAGTGGTGTCTAAA